ACCCTGCGCTAATGTCTGAAAAAAACTATGTCTGGCTTGAGCTGCTGGAAAATACGATCTGACATCTCGTGATGGAATATCTTTGTTTTTAGAGCTGAAAGGGAATCGAGTATCTGAAACCATCAGCTAGCCATCCAGCTGCCTTTTCTCCTCCAATCTGACACTTTAAAAATAATTTTAATGTGACGTTGGCATAACTTGTATTTGCTCATAATAAAAACCAACGAAATTTCTGTGTCCGAAGCGGTGAGCTTTACAAAATCTTCAAAATAAGGGAGAGGTGTATCTTACAGAATCATTTGGCTGAATCGTAAGGCAATCGACGAGGGTGGAATTTTCCTGTCATAACTCTGACTTGAGTGAATTCTGTAACATGATAGTTCTCTGTCGATCTGGCGGGATGGCGGCAGCAATGTGATCATGCTAAGCTGTCGTCACAACTGAACTTGGAGGAGAGCAGACTGAAGGAGAAAGGAACGAATTTGGTGCCTGCACCAACGTAGAATTTGTTCTGAAATTCAACCCTACAAGAAGAAAAACCAACCTGTAGTAAAACACCACCATGCCTTCCCCACCGTGGACTGCACCCAGACTGTGGGTGAAGGGACGTTCCTCCATTTCTTTAGAAAACAAGTTCCTGGGCTACAGTCTGTCCATTTCTTTAGAAAACAAGTTCCTGGGCTACAGTCTGTCCATTTCTTTAGAAAACAAGTTCCTGGGCTACAGTCTGTCCATTTCTTTGCATTCTTGTCATGAACATGGCCCCCTGATCGCTCTCTCCCCGGTTCATGCTGGCTCCCACGTGTCACTCGACACTCTGTCCGCTGCGCCCCGTATGGGTCAGAAAGTCCCACACACCTCAGCTCTCCTACACCAGACACACAGGATGAGACCCTGGAACTCTTCTGTCACACTGGCTGCCGGAACCACAGAGCAGCAGCCAGACACAGATCGAGAAGCACTGAGAATACCCTGGAGGGTTGCTGAGGTGGCTCAGGGGGGACAGGCATCTGACACCAAGCCTAACAACCGGAGTTCAATCCCCAGGACTCACAGGGTAAAAAGACAACCAACTCCTGCAAGTTGACCTCTGACCTCACAACAAGGAGGGTACTAAACCAGAAGTGTCACCTGCCAGTCCCAGTGTGAATAAAAGTGGGTACATACACAAGCCGGGCATGGTGGCACCTGTCTGTAATCCCAGCAGGGACAGGCAGACCTCTGTGAGTTCAAGGCCAGCCTGGTCTGCATAGCACAACACTGTCTCAAAAAACAAAACCAACGACAACAACAAAAAGGGGGACACACAAGTGTTTCACAGACAGACTCTCCCTGTGATAAAACTGTACGGTTTCTGAACTGCGAGGTCACGGCTGGGCGGGGGGGAGCCAGCCCCTCATAGGCACTGCATTTATAAAGGGTTTTACACACATGTGTTTTTCCTTAGTGAGTGGCTTTTTAATGCTTCATTAGTCAGTAGCACGTGCACAGGAGTATGTGTGGGTGCACTTGCCCGTCACACGTGTGACCGTCACATATGTGACGTCAGGTGACAGTTGTTGGGCATAAATTTTCTCCCTCTACCCTGTGGGTCCTGGTGATTGACTGGGCTTTGTAGCAAGTGTCTGTATCCATGAGCCTTACGCCAGCTCCTGCACCCTTTTCAAAAGAGTTACTATATTCTTACAGTACCACGTGTCTTGTATATGTGCACACGAGTGCAGGTGCCTGCAAAGACCAGACATCCACCGGCTGCCCCAGTGCTGGAGTGACAGGAGGCTGTGAGCCGCCTGCTACAGGTGCTGGGAACTGAACTTGGGAACTCTGAAAGTGCAGCTCACATCCTTAACCACTGAACCATCTCTCTAGGCCTCATCTTCCTTTTGAAAATATTCTTCTGAGGACACACGTCACACTCACCAGTGAAGGCGTATGGCATGGAGAAATGCAGAAAGCCCTTCCATGACCAGGAGGATAAAGATAGTCAAAACTGCAAAGAAGGCCATGACAGGCAGCAGGAGCAAGACCCCGTAGGTGGTGTCCACACGCAGGCCCACGCGCAGCAGCATGGCCCACAGCACATCAGACAGCTCTGCAAAGCAAGCCATCAGCAGAGTTCAGTCTGAGAACAAGCCTCTCCACCCACGGAGAGCAGGAATGCCTACCAGCCTGCCCCCGGAGCGGAGGCCCCGAACCTCCAGGGCTTGCTTTCTCTGTGAAGAACAACAATCTCAGGAGGCACCATGGTGCCTCCAGTTTCCTAACTCGGCAAGCTCAGGCTCAGGACCCAGCTTGAGAGACCTGTCTGGACCTAGCAAGGTGACCTGCTCCAAGTCTGGGTCTGCTGCCAACAAGGCAGCCTCTGCACCTTCACTGTCTTGGAACACAGAGGCCTCGCTCTCCGTCCCGTTGGTCGGTACCCTCTTGTGATCACCCATCTCGGTCACATATCTCAGGGCTTTGTCATGGAATCTCAAGGCAACACAACTGCATGTTTTTCTGTGTGTGGAGTGAACGCAGTCAGTGACCAGTCACCTCCAGGTTGGAGAGAGAGGACATGGCCTCTTGTTACAACACACAGGGTAAGGTAACCTACAGACTAAAGAACACCCCCACAGCTGTGTCTCACACCAGGCTCACAGCTAAGCCAGTGTGGAGGACGAGCCATGCTGGGGCTCAGGGCCATGTAATTCAGCTGTGCATGAGCAAAACCGTGCACATGAGGACTGACTAAGTCTGAACTACGTACGGCTCAGCAGCTGCCACACTTGCTTGAAATAAATACTCCACTGAGTAAACAAAACAAAGGCTAGGACACACTCGGGAACACGAGAGAGTGAAGAGCATCCATGCCAGCGGTCACCAGGCCCTCAGTTCCCAGAGCCCCTCCATGCCTAGGCCGGAGCCATGACCTGCGTGATCAGAAGTTGGGTCCAAATAATGAAGAGTCCTTGTCCATCACCACTTGGAGAGCTTACACACTCCATGGGGCTGAGCAACATACGTGCATGTGCCAGGCTGAGGGCCCAAAGCCTCAGGTAGGACGCGGTGTTGGAGATGCAGCCAAGGCAGTACTCGATGGAGTGGATGGCCTGCGTCATCAGGATCTCCCCAAAGTTGAACTGAGGGACAACAGAGGACATTAGACACCACAGCACAAACCTGCTCCACTGTGAAGCCCTGGCTGGTCTCAGAGACAGAGCAGGCCGGCAGCTAAAAACAGCAGGTCCAAGACGTGACTCCTGCTCTCAGTGGGATTGTGGGGCTCCCCACCCATCTCCCACACTAGCCCCCAACTCGACTCAAGCTTCAGTTCCCTGTGACCCAAACACCAGCTAGAACTGTGATCGCCAAAGGGTCACATGGCTAGAGATCTCAATGACATCTGAGCTAGCCTCAGAAACTACCCAGCATCCAAATGGGCATTTCCCAGCTACGGGCGCACGGGGACACACCGTGCTCGAGGCGGGGGAGGGAGGGAGGGAGAGGGTGCTGTCCCACGAGCACCTGGCTCTTCCTCACTCTGCTTTCTTTGCTCTGTGAACTTGTGATGTCATTGCTTGGCCTGCATGAAAACTCTGCTACACAGTAGCAACCGACCAACCGACCACAGGGAGCTCAGTCCCCACAGGGAGCAGTGTCCGCACTAAGCAGTCAATGAAGAGCCTCCTCCCTCACCCAACTGTCCGGCCGAGCTCACCTCCTCGCACGTCATTTCCCGGCAGCCCTCTTCCATGCGGTTGTGCCCCTCTTCTACGTCCTGGCTGCCCAGCAAGGAAACCTCCTCCTCGCTGTCCTTCCTCACAAGCGTGTAACCGCTCTAACCAGAAAAGAACAGCGTCAGCGCTTGGAATGCCACAGGGCTGGGACAAAACGCAAGTACCTGCTTCTCTTAGGACTCAGCTCTCTAGGAATAAGAAAACTGTCTCTAAGAAAGTGCACAGCTCATATGCCTTTAGACTGTCACAGACAATGGAGGGACAAAGAGAATAACAAGTGTTGGCAAGAATCAAGAAGCTGGAACCCTACTGGGACTTTAAAATGGTTCAGCTGCTACAGAAGAAGTATGGCAGTTCCTCAAAAACACAAACACAGAACTGTTTGCCCGGGACCTGGCACCTCCACTTCTGACATACACCCAGGAGAGTCCAAGGAGAGCCTTGAGGACATGCCTGTGCATGCGTGTTGTATCAGTATCATTCCTCGAGCTGCAGCCCAATACTACCATCAAGGCTCTAAAGAAAGCCAGCTCTGGAGGAATCAGAACCTGGGGACACGGAGACCTCGGGACACGGAGACCTCGGGACACGGAGACCTCGGGACATGGAGACCGCACTCACCCGGCTCACCCCAAAGCAACTGCGCCCGTTGTGCAGCCACAGCAGGAAGAGCGGCTTCCCTAAGAAGAGCACGGGGACCGCCAGCACCGTGAGGGCCACCAACACCTTCTGGACATGTGCCTGTTGGTGCAAGGGAGAAGTCCATGAAGAGGAGGGAAGGGCGGTACGCCGTCAATGGGGCGTGGAGCAGACTGTGAGGGAGGGCCAGTGTGTCTCTGGACAGATGACTGCCAAGTCCCTGCAGCCAGGGCAACCCTCCGCACTTCTTCCAACTCACAACATTCAGGACACAGCACTGAAATGTTATTTTTAGAGCAGTGAAAATACTCTAGAAAAATTCCAAATGGAGGTTTGGGGAAATGACCCAATCAGGACTGAGTCTGAAGTCTGCTGTGGCTGTGCAAGCTTGTGACCCAGCACTAGGGAAGCAGAGGCAGGAAGAGCTCCTGGGGCTTGATAGCTGGTCACCCTGGCCTACTGTGACAGTTCCAGGCCAGGGATAGACTATGGTGTGCGTGTGCGCGTGTGTGCATGCGCACACACCACCACCACCAACAACAACAACAACAAAAAGGTGCATGGTGCCTGAGGAATGACCTCCAAAGTTGACCTCTGGCCTGAAGACACAGGTACCTACACACACTCACACAAATTCTAAATGGGAACTCGCTTTGGTATCACACACCAAAATATTAGAACCAAACAGAAGATTAGCATGGTCCCTGCGAAAGGATGACATGTACATTTGTGAAGCATTCCATTATTTAAAAATAAAAAAAAAATCTAGCTGGGCAGTGGTGGCACACATCTTTAAACCCAGTACTCTGGAGGCAGAGGCAGGAGGATCTCTGAGTTCAAGGCCAGCCTGATCTACAGAGCAAGTTCCAGGACAGCCAGGACTACACAGAGAAACCCTGTCTTGAAAAAGCAAAACAAAGAAACAAACAAAACATCTAACTGGAGTCAAACTCCAGTTAATAACTTTCTTAGAACACTGCCCAAGGAAAAGCAGAAACACTAGCAGAATACTCTTCACACTCTTGGTTTCGGTTTAGTCTTCCTTATCACAGATGACTTGGAGAGTGCTGAGTGCAGAGGCTGTCACCACCAGGTAGAGGAGTACTCACCTGCCCTGGGTAGAGGCCATGTGTCTCACTGGCTGGGAACAGGAACATGTTAATGAACTCGATCAGGATGCTGGGGGCCTCTCTAGAGGTCTCTGCCGAGTATGCCAGCCACTTGTAGATGATCATGAAGATCAGGTACCCAAAGATGCAGAGCATGAACAGGATCTCGGGGACGGACACCAGGTAGATGTTGAACTTCTTCCTAAAGTGCCTGCAAGAGGGGCGAGAGAGGCCGCTGCTATGGTGCCACGGGCCACTTCAGGGCTCCACAGGTGTCTCTGCTGGCTGGAGCCAGAGAAGAGATCGAACTGCAGAACCACACAAACATAGGCTGCTACTGAGTCTGGCTTCAATATATTCGAGTTTTTTGCTTTGTTTTGTTTTTGTTTTAAGATTTTTAAAAATTATTTTAATGAAATCAATTTTTAAAAATTCACTTAATTTTATGTGTACGATTGTTTTGCCTGAATGTATGTCTGTGCACCATGTACATGCCTGGTGACCACAGAGGCCAGAAGAGAGTGTTGTAGGCTTCCTGGAACTAGAGCCATAGCTGGTTGTGATGTGAGCCACCATGTGGGCACTGGGGACCAAACTCAAGTCCTTTGAAAGAGCAACAAGTGCTCTGTCTCTCCAGACCCCATTTTAAAAATTGTTTTCAATTATGTGTAACCATGTCGGGCAGGGGGAGCTATGCACTTGATTGCAGGGCCTTTCAAAGGCAACCAATCTCCCTGGAGCTGGAATTACAGGCAGTTGTGAGCCACCCACCATGGGTGCTGAGAGCAGAACTGCGGTGCAGTCCTCTGGAAGAGCAGTACACATGTTGTCCATTTTTTCAGTGTCCCAGCTCTATCAGGACTTAAAGAACAGAGGTACATGATGCAAATCATGCTTCGCCATGAGATGCATAGTCAGCACAGAGAAATAGTCTGCCAACATGTTGACGCTCCCACAAAACCAACAGAAAGCTTTCTACATTAGAGCAGTAAGAATGTGACAAAATCCCCTTTGGGGATTAGCCCTGCATTCATGTCACATGCCTCCCCACTTGGACACGAGCTCCAGGCGGGCAAAGGTCCCTCTCCATTCTCTGCAGAAGCCCAGTGCCCAGGATAGCAGCCGATCCGCAGTTATGCACTGAATGGATAAATCACTGATCTCCCATAATTCCAAAGCTGAATAACCAAAACAGAATCCTACCGTCACCATCAGATCAACTGCCCTTGGCCTAGTCAACAGGAGCATCAAGAGATAAAACTGAGGGCTGCAGAGACGGCTCAGTGGTTGAGAGCACTGGCTGCTCTTCCAGAGGGTCTGGGTTCAATTCCCGGCACCCACACGGCTGCTCACAACCATCATGTAGTTCAGGGGCTCTGCTGGCCTCTCTGGCCTCCACAGGCACCAGACATACATGCAGTTAGACATCCACACAAAGAAATGAAACATAAGGGGCTGTGAGATGGCTCAGGAGGTAAAGGGGACTGCCACCAAGCCTAACAACCCGAGTTCATTCTCCAGAATCCACACGGTAAACAAAAGGGAAAACTCCCGCCAACTGTCCTCTGACGTACATATTCACGCAAGTGCACATGCACACACACATACTGTCTGTACACACACCGATGTTAAAGGGGGTGGTGGTGTGGAAAGACGGCTCAGTGGGTAAAGTCATTTGCTGTCAAGCCCGACGACCCGAGTTCAATCCCCAGGACCCACAAATGGTAGAAGAAACAACCCCAAAAGTTGTCCTCTGACCTCCACACATGTACTGTGATGTGCACCATCTCCCTCCCCTCACCAAATAAATGTAAGAAATACGTAGTAAATAAATAAATAAATAAATAAAAAAGGAGTGTCAAACTTGGTTTACAAGCACAGATTTCAGAACTGCTGAGCCAGGCACACTGGCTCACGCCTGTAATCCCAACTCTTGGAAAGTGGAGAGGGGACTTTCAAAAAATGAAAGATGAAAAACAAATTAAAATGTGTACTTACAAGTGGTTAAATATTCCCAGAATGACACCAAAAGTCATGTGAATAATTCCTAAAATCACAGACATTTTCATCTTGAAGGAATTGAGGAAAGTGAGGCGATTTGTGGCCAGGTTCCAAATCTACGGACCAGACCAAACAGAGGCAATGTAAGTCCCGTCAGCAGGCGCTGGAGGGCTCCTAAGTCAGAGGGTTGCTCTCAGTTCCCAGAGGAAACACCACCTTCCCGTGGTGCTCTCAACTGCCTTCCCCAGGCCAGGGCTCCAGGGTCAAAACCAGGGAGCCTCTCTCCTGAGCCAGGGCTGCAGTCTAGCTCGATCTAGCTGCACAGTGGGGCAGCTCACATGGTGAATGCTATTCACCTTCTGGATCATGTTCAGACTGCAGACGTGGCCTAAGTACGCAAAGGCCACCCCTGGTCAGGACTCTCAGGACACTTGAGGCTGCGGACCTGAGACCTGCCATGTCCTGGGCATCATCCCCTGAGCAGCCTCACCCACATCCTTCCCAGCCAACTCAGCAGTGATGAGATCCGCTTTCAAGACAACTCCTCAGAAAGTCTTCAGGGCACTGATCCAACAGCTTGGCCTACAGGGACCTGCCTACTGAGCCCTCATAGGACAGGAGGGGCCTGGCACCCCAGATCCACCTCAGCCCCTCACCTTCCTCTCCAGATCCAGGGCAATTCACACAAACAATAAAGCTTTTGGGGTCCAGGAAGGGTCACTTCTACCACAGGAAGAGACTGGTAGATATGACCATAGTCCCACGGCTCTGCTGACCTCTCCTGCACTGACCTGGCTCTCCAGGTGGCAGGCCGTTCCACTGACTCCACTTACAGAGGTGCAGCAGCACCCCAGCACCTCCCCTTGCTTAAGAACACGGGGAAGGATGCACTCACGGGGTCAATGCCGAAAGGGTAGGGGCCTCGAAAAACACCAGGGACGTTCGGGTCCAGCTGTAAAGTCCTGCTGTGTCTGATGGTGCTGTCACTGTAAGAGAGGGCAGAGCAAGGCCGCCATTTGCAGAGGAAGGGGCTCGGGAAATGTATCCCCACCTGTCCCCTCCATGGTCCCCGGCCACCTACTTCCAAAGCTTCATCCTAATTTGCTCCTCTGCAGAGTGGCTGGAGCTGTACATGGCAGACACATTCCACCGAGAGCCAAAGAGGTTCACAGACTTGGAGAAGCAGTCGTTGTAGATGAGGCCGGTGTACACAGAGAACAGCCCCAGGAGCAGGAGGATGTAGCGGCCATTGAAGAACATCCTCAGGATCTGGGAGAAGACACGTGACGGCAGACTCATCGCCGGACAGTGGCTCAGGGGCAGCTCATTCTGGTTCAGACCAGCCACTCCTCTGGGGCTCCCCGAAAACCACAACAGCAAATGTCATACCCAGGGGTGACAGGCACACTCCTCTGATAGAGCACTTTTACACTCCTACACATTGAGCCAGGTGTGGGGCACACACCTATAATCCAGAACTCAGGAGGTGGAGGCAGGGGGATCACAAGTTCAAGGCCAGCCTTCCATGTATAACAAGTTTGAGGCCAGCCCAGACTACCTGAGATTGTCTTAACCACTCTCCACAGAAAAAAACAACAGACAAAACACAGCTCTCTTCCAGTCAAACCATGCCATGGCTCCAACCCACCACGCACGGGCTGGCAGGCATGCATTACCTCCTGTGACTGGCTTAGTCTGGGGTGATTCTCATTTAACACCAGTAAGAGGGCAAACAGGAACATGACAAAGCCGTGCCCAAAGTCACCAAACATCACAGCAAACAGGAACGGGAAGGTGATGATGGTGAAGAGCGCTGTAGAGACAGAGGGGTGGCAAGTTCTCAGCCGGGCCTTCCGTTAGCATGTATACACACACACACACACACGTTCTCAGCAGGGCCTTCCGTTAGCATGTACACACACACACACACTGGCCTTCCATTAGCATGCACACACACACACACACACACACACACACACACAGAGCTCTCAGGACAGGACAGTAAGGTTATTTAATGCTCTGCTAAGGTGACAAAGTGACAGCAGTCAGCTCACCTGACAAACATCCACTACATCCCCTATCAAAAATTACCAACAGGGCTGGGCACGGTGTCACATGCCTATAATCCCAGCACTCAGGAGGCAGGGACAGGAAGATCACCAAGAGTTCAGGGCCAGCCTGGGCTACATCATGATTGTTTCAGGCTAGTCAGGGATACAGGGTGAGACTCTGTCTTAGAAATCCAACAAAAGCCAAAGCTGGCTGAGACCAGCCTTGTCCAGATGCCGACCTGGGTTCACTTCTCTGTAGCTCCCGACACCATAGGCATCCACGATGTTCTGGAAGCCCTCAGTGAATTTGTTGGTGCGGATCAGAGTGGGCGGCGTTTCTTTCGTAGGGATTGTGTTCATGAACGAGGGGATTGTAGCTCCGCTCTCTCTCTTCCACACAGAAAAGAAAGAGGAAAATATGACTGAACATGAGAACAGCTACGGATAAGCACACGACTCAGCTTGTGTGTTGGGGGGGGGGGGGGGGTCCTGGGTGTGCATGTTCACAGAAGTGAGTCGGCAAGCCAGACATCCAAGCGGAGCCCAGTGGTATGAGGACAGAACTTGGAGCTGGGGCCCTTGGAAGGA